AAGGTGTCTGCCCCTAAAATGTCATGCTGAAACCATCATTCAATGCCTGTCACTAGCTACAGCTAAACCATGGAGGACTGATTTACATTTGTGCTGCAGTAATCAGTGAGCTGTTTTCAAAATGAAAAAAACCTAACTTATGGTTCTATTTGCTCTTCTCTCAACGGGCAATAAATGCAGTCCATAAAATTACAAAGCAGCTTTGGAATCGTAACCTAATTAAGTCAGCAGTAACTGATTGAAATAACTGAAGAATTATATATATATATAAAAATATATACACACATATATATAAGATAAAGCCTTCAATAAAAAGAAGTCTCCATTGGGATATACTCAGTCTTCCACCACCCCTGTTTTAAACATACTGATTGACAACAATTGTCCACAAAATTAATATTATACATTTATAACTGCATCTCATAAACTATGAGGTTGATTCTTTTCTCACTGAAGCCAGGAGTGAGAACCCCCTTGCTCCCTGGAACACACACCACCATGGTACCAGAAAGGTTTTACAGCTGAAGTCTCTACAGCCTCAACACCACTGGAAGCAGCAGCAGCTCTTGTCTGCTGAAGGAGAGGAGGTAGAAGAGAAGCAAGGAGCACGGCAGAGCACTCAGAAGTGCTTCCAATTCTTATGAAACTACCCAGGCTGTGTTGTAACTCCTCCATGCAAACCAAAGCTGTCATAGATTTTTCCTGAGATGATTATCTGCCTCCCACAGGTAACTTTCTGTACTTATATGAACATCAACAGTCAATTTGTTAGGCTCAAACAACAAAATAACAGAGAAATATGAAACGCTATATGCCAAATTGCCAGTACGAAGTTTTACAAGATTGATGTCCAAGACAGCTTTTGTCCATAAATCTCATAGCACTTCATTAAGTGCTCTGAGGCAGATACTTTGGAAGCTGGATCTGAGACTTGAGATGTGACCTTCTCAATGCCATGTAGCAGGTTAACATGCTTCAACATTCCCAAGTCCATGAATCTGCCATTGCTCTGAGGAGAAGACAAGCAATCCTCTTCACAAGCAGAGCTCTGCACCTGTCATTAGGTGGCACTGGGCTAGAATGATTAAACATGTGGAAGAATCAACCAGTTTTTAAGATATCAGTTGGCATCTAAGCTGCTTGTCCAAGCTGATGAACAAAGGATAAAAATGTAAAAAAAAAAAAGGAAGTAAAAGGAGGAAGCAAAGTTCTGCCTCAGATCATAAATAACCTGTCCTCCTTAAACCATCCACACTCCATTTTGTCCATGTGACCTTTGCTGGTTTTTACTGGCAGGCTGGTAAGACAAAAAAAAATTTTAAAAGGAAAAACAGAAAAGTTAAGCTAATTTCTTAGCCTTTTCCTAGCTCCAGCTGCACAGGTACACCTCCACAGCACAACACCTCACAGGGCAAGAAGGGACAACTGCATCTCTTGCTGCTGCTGGCACAGGTGAGGATGGTGCCACACTGCCCATGGATTGATTCTGGACTCACAGTCCAGCAGCTCTCCCTGTCCAAGATCAACCTTTAAGACATAAACCTGCCTGAAGGAGATGGCAACAGACACTGAGCAAGCCAAAATCAGGCTGATGTCTGCAGCCAGGACAGGTGGTTGCTATAAACAAAAGGGAGTCTGAAGGGCTGAGCCATAGTGGCCTCTCTTGGAAACCACTCCCAGAAATTCCTCAGCAGCTATCAGAGCTGGTACACCAAGTCCCACCACCTCAGTCACCCTCACCTGTCAGGGATGGGAAGGCAAAATGGGTAAGACACCTTAGTGTGAAAGGCAAGAAATGAGCTGGAGAGTTTGTGGATAAAAGAAAGGAGAACAGAAATACATGCTACGACTAGGGACATCAGGAATACCCAGCAGACAGACAGCAGTGACATAAACAATTTAGAGAGGGCAAAATGAATGAAACCTTCTACACCTTTATATCAACATTACCAGCACACAGAGACCACCACATTTATTCCAGACTTACCTGAGCTCCTTGCTGAACAGTGCACAAAAATCGAGGTCTCAGGCTTTACTCGTAACACAGCAAATGGCCCCAAAACTGCAGCAAAGTAAGCAGAACAAAAACAGCGACCACAATGGGACCTTCTAATACAAATCATAAAGCTCATCTTGCCAGAAGACAGATGTCTCCTGAAAATTACTGTGGAATGAGCTCCCTCAGAAACTAAGGACCAACAAAGTCAGTATCATCTCCCTCTGCAAGAGAGATAACTATTGTAGAAGTCATCTCCTTTAAAATAGAATGAACAAACAGAAGAAAACCATTACAAGCAACTGTCATATACAGAAAACCCTTGCAAGAAAAACGAGCCAGTTATCCACAAATGACAGCTGACAGCAGCTTAACACAGTGCTGTTAGGATGTCAGGTACAATATGAATGAGACAAGATGAGCAGAACACATTCACAAAAAATGGAAAGTACAGTAATAAAGAAAGAAGCATCAGTAAAATATGGGAAAATGAAAAGGACCAGAAGGAAATGAGGTATAAAAAAGAAAAAAAGGTAAAGAATGGAGCAACATACTGAGATATTATCTTGAAGCAGACAATCCCCTGGCATTAACTGGTGCAGAACATTGTCTGGAACAGGTCAAGGACAGTTTCTGTGAGCTGAGGATTTGGTCCTCCACACAGAATCAGGCAATGGCAATGACAGCATCCTGCCTGGTTTCCTTGGGTTGCCTTCCCCCTCAGAAAGTGAAGAGGCAACACAGGAAGACAATAAGATGATGCTGTAAATTAAAAGGCAAGGCTTAAGAGAAATCAAAAAATAGACAAACAAGAAATAAAAACAAAGGGATGGGGCAAAGGCAAGATAAAAAGAAAATATCCACAGATTAGTGGAGTACATTTTATTTATTCATGATCTCTGTTTTATTATATGTCCTTGGCAGATGTCCCACAACTGAAAATTTGCAAGGCAGATAGTGATGAGAGTTTAGAGACTTGAGCCTTGTTTCTTGTCATTAGCCTTGGGCAGATCTCTTCAATATATGTGCCCCAATAGGAAGCAAACAAGTTCCTTAAATCAAGAGTCTTTGGACAGGAGACATGCTGCAAACAAATGGGCTTAGACACGGATCCCAGGAGGTAAGACCAAAAGCATGGTCTCGACCTGTTCTCAAGTAACCAAGCTGAAGGTCAGGCTGCTAGCAGGATAATGCCCAGCAGGACACAGACTGCCTCTGACCAACTCACAGCAGACTGCCTTTCACCCACTCTCCTTGTCAAGCAGCCCTCATTTCACCTGAGAACACCTGGGCTCAGCCTGCCCAGCTGGCAGCACAGGGATGCCACCAGCCGTGGCAGCGGCCTCTGGAGCCATCCCAGCACCGAGGCAGGACACGTCCGGCACCGGCCTGGCCAGGGCTCAGCCGGAACAAACAGTACACCCCTGGCAGACGCACCAGTGCTGAGTGCTGAAAGCTTGGCTGCCTCACTCTCCAGGCAGGTTTAAGGTGCCTCTGCAGCTCGGCTCAGTCACTGCAGAACCTTGCTTTGCACTGAGGCTGAATGGTCTTGGCACTGAGTGTTAATAGCTGATTTTATCCTGCCTGTGGCCGTAACTGCACAGCTAAGGTGGCTAAACACTGATTTGTCATCTTTTCAGGTTTGAGGTGGTTTTATTCTTCTTGCCCTGGGAAAGTTGCTAAGTCCTAGAGGGGATGAGCAAAGAACTTCTCCTCCTTCAGGACCTCTCTGTTTCTACAAAGGACATTCTAGTAAAACATCTGACCTCACCTGTCCCAGGAACGATTCTAGAGGTCACACTGCAGTTTGCATCAGCTCAGCTGAAAGCTTATCATTGATTTTCTTTTGCCCACACTCATCAATAGGAAGTTGAAGGGCTGCTACAAGGCTGTGGGTTGCCTTAGTGCTGAGACAGGTAACAAGACATAGACATTTACAGACAAGGAAGAACGTCTCTTAAAAAGGAGCTTTAATGTCCTCTGCTACAAATACATATAGATTTATTCTTTTTATAATTTCAAGACCCGCTTAAATTTATCCAGACAGTATAAAGCAGATCTAATAGACAAGTAAAGAACTGTGATTTAGGAAATCTATATTATTTCTGGACCTTCCCCATACTTTAATTCTTGCAACTGAAAAAAAAAAAGAATGATACTGTGCTCCTATTTTAAAAGAAAACTGTTTTGAAATCTACAGCTAAGAAGCACTGTTGTAAAAGCTAACAGACTACTGTCTGTTAAGGTTCTTTCATGATCATTTAGCTACCTACCTTTATTTAAATAATTTACACAATTTCAGAACATAAAATCATTTTTGTCTACCCACGGTGCTATCTCAGCAGAAATTTAGATCAGAAACTAAAAAGTTTCTTCCTTATAAGCCTTATAATTGTCTTTCATTCCCCCAAATGACTACTGGTTTCAACACTGCGGCTATGGGCATCTTCCCCCCAGCAGCAGATATTAAATACATCACACAAAGTTAAAAAGCCACCTCTGCTTCATGGCTTAGGATATGAACTCAGATCAATTCCTACCAAAACTGTAGGTTATTTAACCCTAACTGATTAGAGGAAAGATTTTGGAAAATGCTGCAATTTTGACTGAGGAAAGTAAGAATGAGTGGTCCAGGACATGTTTCTGCAATTGAGATCTGCCCCAGGTATCCCAAGTCAGACACCAGAACTTGAGTCATACATCCCCTCTGAAACTCCTGGCTCCCATACAAGCCTGCTCCCTCTGTCCCCTCAGGACGGTAGCTCGAGTGCCTTATGCCATCTATTGGTCTAGACCAGCGACAGGCGCTCGGAGGAGAACTTTAATTCTGGGAAAGTGACTGTGTTAAAAGGAATCTGTCGGTAGATCTGTAAATTCCGCTAATGGAATCAATACACTGCCACTGCTCATATCTTGAGGTCTACCTTGCCCAGCAGACACACTGAGTTCAGCTCCCAGAATAACCATCAGCTGTGCTTTGCATTAGGCAAATAAAAAATAGTACATGGCGATCTCGCAGGCAAGAAAATCCAGAAAATAAGCAGAGAAAACTTTCCCTGTCCTGCAAATGAACATTTAAAATGTCATTCATAAAAAGAGAAAGCTCTTTCAAAATCCACTTAGTTCTAAAGTCTCGTTAACTATCCCCAACTTAGTGTAAGTCTACTTCAAACCGGACACGCATAGTGAAGAAACTTCTTCCACATTTCCTTAGCCACAAAGCCTACTGTAGCCATTCACAGCTGCTTTACTTTTTAACCTAAACAAGTTTCTAAAAGACAAGGCAGAGCTGTGCAACGCAAAACGACTCAGAGGCATCGCCACCGGCCCTCTCCCTCTCAGGCCATTACAAAGCAGCAGCGGAGATCCCGGCAGGACGCGTCCCCTCCGAGGGCCAGAGCGGTGCCCGCGCCCCGCTGCGGAGCCGCCTCCCCGCACAGGGGCTGCGCGTCCCGAGCCGAGACTTCGGCGGGGCAGCGAACGCGCCGAGGCTCCCCCTGCCCCGGGTGGCATCCTGTGAACCCCCCTTCCTCCTCCCCCACGACTGTTTGCCCGCAAAAGTGACATCGAACCTCCGGCACCGCGGGAGCCGCGCCGCGCTCCGCGCTGTCCGCTCCGAGCCGCAGCCGCTGCCCCGGGGCCGCTCCGCCGCGGGCCGGGCCGGCGCTGCCCACCCGGAGCCGCCGCCGGCCGCCCCGCCGGCTCCGCGGGGCCGCCCAAGCGGGAGGGGAAGGCAGGCGGCTGCGGGCGGGCTCAGGCCAGTCCCCTCCCCGGCCCCGGGCATCCCCCGGCCCCACGCCCCGCTCCCGTCCCGGCGCGCCGGGGGGCCCGCAGCGCCCTCGGGGGACCCCGCTCCGCTCCCCGCGGTGCGCACCGAGCCCGAGCGGTGTCGCCTTGCCTCCGGGCGGTCGGTGTTCCCCAGAAGTCCCGCTCCACGCCCCGGGGATCCTGCTCTGTGGCGGAGTCCCACCCCCACGGTTTCTCTTCTCTCCGGAGCGTCCCCGCACTTTGCCTGTCGGTCCCGCACAGCACCCCCGGCGTCTCGCCCCGGGCCGGGTCCGTCCCGCTCAGTTCCCCCGGGAAGTCCCGCACCCCCCGCATCCCGTGCGGACCTGGCAGCGCCGCTGCTCCGCGTCGGCACCTACCCGGCACGCCCAGGCGGTGCCGCCGTGCCGCGGCTCGGGAGCGGGGCCGCCCGTCCGGAGCGGCGATGCTGCCCAGGCCGAACGGGCCGGGCCGGGCCGGCCGCCTCCCGCCCGGGGCTGCGGCAGCGGAGCGGAGCGAGCGCCGGCCCCGCCGCCCGTGCGGGGCTCTGGGCTGCGGGGCTCCTGTCCCGCCTCTGTGCGGCTGCGGGGCTCCTGTCCCGCTTCTGTGCGGCTGCGGGGCTCCTGTCCCGTCCCGCTTCTGTGCGGCTGCGGGGCTCCTGTCCCGCCTCTGTGCGGCTGCGGGGCTCCTGTCCCGCTTCTGTGCGGCTGCGGGGCTCCTGTCCCGCCTCTGTGCGGCTGCGGGGCTCCTGTCCCGCTTCTGTGCGGCTGCGGGGCTCCTGTCCCGTCCCGCCTCTGTGCGGCTGCGGGGCTCCTGTCCCGCCTCTGTGCGGCTGCGGGGCTCCTGTCCCGCCTCTGTGCGGCTGCGGGGCTCCTGTCCCGCCTCTGTGCGGCTGCGGGGCTCCTGTCCCGCTTCTGTGCGGCTGCGGGGCTCCTGTCCCGCTTCTGTGCGGCGGGGCCGGCGCGGCGCGCTCAGCTGTCAGCGCTCAGGGATGGATCTGCCATCGATCCCCAGCGCCGGTGCGCTGGAGTGGCGCATACGCGGCTCGATTAGCGGCGGTGCAGCCTGAGCTGCGGAGTGTCCTCCGCACGCTGCAGAGGGAAGTAATTTGGTTTCCGTGTTGTGCCCCAGAGTAGCTGTGTGCTTGTGTCAGGGCTCAGTTCTGCCCCAGTTAAAGTCAGGCCAGCTCCCAGCGTAACTCGAAAGCACTGTTGCGACAGCGTTCCACGGTTAAACATTTTGTCTGTTTCGGTGGTGTCGTTTTGAAAATTGCCGATAATGAACGGGGAGGTTTATTCCTTCGTCACAAATTTTGACAGAATGTAAAGCATTTCCTGCACTTTTGCCAAACTTTTCAAAACTTTTCACTAACAAAAAGTACTCCGAAATCATCATCATCATCATCATCATCATCATCATCATCGTCATCGTCATCGTCGTCATCACTAACTGCAGAATTAAAGGGGGGGGGGGGAATCTGTTTCATAACTATTTCTGCCAGTTATTTTCCTAATCAATTTTAGCTTGAAAAAAAATCTTGCACAAATATTGCATAAAATTCTCCTCTGTTTTGAGCGGAGATTTCATTGTGGTGGATGTTTTTAGAATTCATTGCATATTTTAAGGAGAATAATTCAACAACCTGTTTTTTAGATGCAACACAAATTACTATGCTGATGTGTTCTTGTTGTGGTAATTATTTTTTAGTCTTGTAAGAGTCCTTAGTTGTGAAGACCGAGGAGAGAGGGGATCCTAAGAGAATACATTTCTCTCTATGTTTATTGTTATTCCCTTAAGATACTATTGCTCTGCAGAGAGGATTCATTTTATTACATGTTATGATGTATAATATCATTAATAAATTAAAATTTTTATCACAATTATCTTTCATTAATCACAAAAGTTTTAATCCCTGCAGAATATGTCCTGTCCAGATATTACATCAACCCTTCAATGTTGTGCACAGCAATATGCATTTATGATACACATCTTTTTCAAAACCCATAATTAACTAGGAATACAGAATGACATTTAGTTACAGAAAGTTTGTGAGAAAGTCATGCCCTGAGTGCAAAGTGAGTTCCTCAGAACTGTTCAAATACAAGAATGTGAAGAATACTTCCTGAAGACAAATGAGGTCATCTTAGTGGGTCATTTGGAGATTTCAGCATAAAATTTGAAAGATCCTGCAGAAATATTGTTACTGACTTTTGGAAATGATACTGCAGCACTGCAGCCCATCAGATGGTTACACAACCTCAAGTCATCACAGGCAAGAATGTGAGATGCTGAAAATTGCCCAGGAAGGTGAGCTGCAGCTGGGCAGCAAGGACACACACGTTTCTAACACACAGTGACATCTGCAGTGACAGAGGGGGAAAAGGTAATTTTATTGCCTGTGTCAACACTGCTGGTGACACTGGTGACTCTGTCCTCAGTGCCTGTTGTGGGCACTGGATGTGTCCCATGGTGCTGCTGTGCCTGGCAGGGAGAGCAGAAACATGCTGTCTTGGCTGCTCATCAAGCCTGTCGAGCTGCAATCTGCATTATCATAACCTGGAGCTCCTTACATCAGCATCATCCTGCACTGCTCTTTTCTAAACAACAGACCCAGTCCCCTGAGGGCAGCACATTTAGAAAAGCCAGTTCTTTCCTCCCAGTGTTCTGCAGACCCAGGCATCTTCTCTATTTTATCTGCATCAAGAAATACCACAAAACATGGGAATTGCATTTATTTTTGTATTTGATGCATCATGGTTTCTTTTCACATAAGCAGTGTCTGAGCACCGAGATGTCTGAAGAAACATCTTTCAAAGCAGTTTTTCACATGCTTCCTCCAAAACACAGCAACTCCCCTGAGCTGTGATCATGCTTTTGCATGGAGAGCTGACTTGTGGGTTTTGGGCAGGTTTTAGCAATTTCATTTTAAAATATGCCCTGAAATTTGCTTGACTCAGTCATCTGGAGAGATTTCTATCTTCCTGATGCAGAAAAACTTATTGGCAGCTGTTTATGGTGGGCATGAGCCTAGTTCCTGGCAGTGAGAAAAAGAAAGGAAATCTAAGCTATAACACCATCATCTTCATTGCTCTGCAGTGGTTTATAATATTGCAAAATGGTATTAACTGTTGCTCACCAGCTTAAAAGGATTGTGAGACAAAGACTGTTAAGGAAAGTAGCATAAATAAGACTGGCTCGTAGTATCTTGTGCTCTAGCCAAGGGTCCACCAGAAATATTATTCAGGAACAAATAACTACAAAATGTCCAGATTAGTCTTTAAAAATATTAACTCCTTAAAAGTTGCTGGTCATAAGTTAACTCAAGACAAAACTGTTGTTCTAAATTTCTCTTAAGAAGATTTTCACCAGTGGTGTGAGGAGTGAACATATGGCTACATCAGAAGGGATTGTGAACCCCCATAAAATAGCTTGCATCCTTTTTATGGCTCTTTAAAGTATGCAGTGGGGCTATCCAAAGTCAAGCTGCCACTGGCTAATCTAAACTGGAAACAGCAGTGCCCTGCCTGAGCACTGTTGTGCATGTGTTTGTTGTGTTTGTGTAACATTTCCATCCCTAGAGACTGGCCATTATCCCCCCTCTATTTGTTTTCTTCCCTGAATTGCCTTCATCCAACCAAAATATGTCAGCAGTTACAGCAGGGGGACTCTGTTAAAGACAAATGGACTCAATGTTCTTCCTGAAGAAATACTCATAATTTAAGCTGCACAGCTGTGGGACAAATTTAGAGCAACTCTGCCTTAGGTACTTTCTTGGGGGAAAAGGAAAAAAAAAAAGTTAATTAGAATGGCAACCCTCCTGTCAGTGAGAGCTGAATCTGCTCTGCTCTGCCTGCTGCAATCCCACCCTTTCCAGCCTGCAAGGGACACATGGGACAGGGACTGAAACACCACCTGCAGCCCCTGCAGTGACCACCCATGGCCACCACAGCAGCCAGAACAGGGGTTTCCACTTGCTGCATGAAAACAGATACAAATTGCAGCTTTTCACACTCCCATTGACTTACATGTTCCTCAGTGCAGGACTCTGGGTTGATTTGCACCCTGTCTGGATGAAAACTATCTCATTCAATTGAGTTTTACATGGGGTTTGCACTACCTCCAAAAGCTCAGTCCTGCCTCTCATACAAATCAGAGGAACTACTCTTGCAGTATTATGGTTTTGCATTGTCACAGGTAAACAGAAGTAAACTGAACCCTCTAGTATTTGCTTTTGTATTCCAGACCTGAGGACTATCTTATGCTGTTTTGATTTAAGAAAGTCAGTGGGAATTTTCAATTCATTCTATTCAGTTCAAGAAGATAAAATTTATCTGTGAATGGCAGGGCCTCTCCTTAATTATCCTGAAAAAATAACTTAATATAATGCAACCTAGTGACTTCAATTCATTAAATAGAGTATTTCTAATTATAAAAAAAGTATTACCAGAAGTTAGTCAAAGGGTTTTAAATTGTTTGTGAGGCAGCATGATCCATTAACTTGAGGAAAAACTGCATCTGCTGCAGAGCCAGGAACAGAACTTAGAGCTCTAGAGGTTTTTTTACTGTTTGTAATGCTGAAATTGTTAGTAAAGTATGAATAGTCAGAGGAGAACACTGTATTTGAATTTAAAAGCATCTGCAAGTGTTGCTAGGAAAATGTGAACCATAACAGATCTTCAATTAAGTAGAAGGTAAGAAATTTATCAGTGTCAGCTCCCTGGTTACCAGGCTATTGACAGAGTTCTTAGGAAGATAAGTCAAATGTACATTAAACATATTGCATTTCTGAAAATTATTTTTTCCATTAATTGTGAAAACAAATTAACAGAGAACCTTGTTTAACGAAAGATAAACATTACATTACCACATCACTAGTCAGCAAAGTGGGTAGGAAATTCCTGGTACGTTTTCTAACTCAAAGCAATCTCAAATTACAATGTGACCTGTAGCAGGATGTGTCTAAAGTAGAACCTTGTGAGCACAATATATAAATGACAACTCCTGTGGAAATGTTGAATACAGCAGCTGTCATTACACAGGCTACCAATACAGTAATTACACTTTGGATGTGTAACCTGGCTTGCCAGTCACAGCTGAATTCCTGTTTTCAACAAATACACTGGGGTTTACAGAGCTGAGCCTTTAAAAAAAATAATGGAAAACATTGTTCCTAAGGTAAAAGATGACAAGGTCTTTCAATGGGAAAAGGATGTCTGTAAAGAATGGTGAAAATGGTTTGTATGTAATCTTTTAATTGCTATTAAAAGTTTATGGCAGGGGAAGGAGTGGGTGTGTGTGCTTAGGAAGCTGCAGCAGAAGGTGGGGCCTTCTTTTGTCAACCTTTTTTCTCTTATTTTTTTCTTTTCTCCTTTGCTGTCTTTCTTCTCCATTTTCAACTCCATTACTATTCAGTATTACTAAGGTGGTCCTTTAGGAACCTCAGTCCAGGCACATAATTTCATTTGGATAGTTGGGATACAGTCAAGTACAAAGGAAGAAATTCTGAAGATTGAATAAGACAGGGCTATAGAAGAAACTGAAGATCAGGGTTTGGAAGGCAAGATAATACTAAAATGAGTAGAGTAATATAAAGCTACAGCGGTGTTTCAATTTTCCTTAATTATTTTCTTTTATTTCTCTTCAAATTTATAATACTGTTTCTTCTAGTTCTGGTTTCTTTTCATTCCTTTTGGGGATTTTTCATTATTTTGCATTTCTGCTCAGCTCTGAAGTCCTTGACATGTCCATTTCTCTGACCTCCTGTCACCACCTCTGTGGGTGAAAAATAGGATTGCAAAGATTTGCTTCAGTACTTCAGAGAAAAATGGGCCAGTAATCAATATTACTATACTGGCATAGTAAGGATATTTACATCTGGAGGCATTCTACCTTGCTCTTCTCATGAATAATGAAAGAAATCATGTCATTCTTGTGGGGCTGGGGTAGCCAAAAAAAATCTTTGGAGAACATGAAGGGACTACTACATTTTAATTTCCATCCTTTGTTTACTTATTGTGTTCTGGAAAAAAAAAATAGGGTAATAAAAGCTAAGAATTTTTTTCCCATTTGGAATTTTGGAAAGTTTATATTCTGAAGAATCTGTGGATGCAGACCATTGACACTGCTACTATAGAAG